GGATTAGAAAGAGATCTAATGATATTAAATATTACAAAGCTACTATGACCATTAGTTGCTACTTCTATAGGAAGAGTTTCATGAGTAACATCTCCTGAAGACAACGGATGACCATTTATGACTTCTACATGAATATGTTTAGTTTTCTTCACTAAAAGTATGTTATATCTTTTAGCAAATTCTTCATCTTAGAAACATGCTAAGGCTCCTAAATCTAACAAGGCAGAGGCTTTGTGTGAGCTCTCAATTATACTCTAAAATTTAAATTTTTATTATTTTCTTATTTTTTGATAATTAAACATGTTAGATTAGGATTTATATAAGTGGAATTTAGTTTTATAGAATTTTTAGGATTACAATCTTTGATGGTATAAATTATAGCCTAATTCCTTGAATTAGATTAATTAGGACTAAAATGATAAGAGTTAAAAAATTAGAATAGCAACTTAGTTAGTTTAATAATTTGGAGGTTGTTAGTCATTACTATAAGGCTTAACTAAAAGCCTATGAGTGCATCGATAATCATTCACATGATTTTGGAGTTGGAATTATAATTCTTTAAACGATTTAGGGAAGTTAGCAATGATAATTTTAGATTTTCTTCCAAATTCGACAAATTCAAGTAGCATGGTGGTTCTTCTACTTAATGGGAGACTTTTTAATGGTGGTACCGGATTTACCTCGTGGAGTGAAGAAAACAAGATCAAAAACCTCTCCTTCAAAATACAAGAGAAGCAATGATATTCTCATTTTGAAGAATTTCACAAAAATTGCAAAGATCCTTGTAAGTAAAAACCTCCATGAAAATTGTAATTGAGCATGGATTGAGGCATGTGAGTAGTCGATCTTAGCTTAAAAAGGTGTTTTGAACACAATAATGAAGTTAGATTTACAAAAAAATGCTTTCTTTACCACTTACAAGAGCCATCAGCCTTGATAACAAGGTTGGCTCTTAGATGAATGAAGGCCATAGATCTAGATTAGGGATCTTAAAAATCAAGCGTAAAGATGTAGCCACCCTTCTACAAGCCTCTACTCAATTGTATAAGAGAGGCTTGGTTTTCTAAGCCCTATCTCTCTCCTCTTTTGGGTGAAGGAAAGAGCCATGCCAAAATTTGGCCAAAACCCTAATCTTAATTTTATTTAGATTTTAATTCTCATTGTGAACCTTATGACTGTGTATGTATGAATTTTGCATTGTGAAGGATGGTCATTAAGTTTTAAAATATGTTTCATTGAGGTGGATATCTCCTCGGCCTTTCAAATATCCCAAGGGTCTTAAGGGCCTCGGATTTTCTTCAATTAGTCACTCAATTTCTATTTTTTCAATGTAAGATTCTGAATAATTGTAGCTTTTGTTGTTAGCTTTCCGACAAAATAAGACTCGCTTGATTTAGAGTAAGAAAGAATATTTGGTGAATTTTTGAGTTTGAAGGAGTTGACTGCCTTTGCAGTTTGAATCAATCAAGTTTGGAAAGGCATTTCTCAGTGCTTGATGGTTGGATTTATTTGAAATTTTGGAAGAATCAAGATTTATAAGCTAAGCTATGAAAAGAATAAGTTTTGTTGAATTTGAAGACAATTTGAATTTTTAGTGAATTTCTAAGTAAAGAAGGTTGGTCACCGCGGCAGTTTGGATCACTCAACTTCAAAGGAGGAATTCTCATGATTGGATCATTAGATTGCAACGAAGATTATTGGATCAAAAGCGCCTTCAAGTCAGCCTTGCAACAAGCTAAGAATCATTCAAATTGAAGCCAATTAAAAATTTTGGCAAATTTTGGAGTAGAAGGGGGTTGTTGCCTTCAATCCTTACGTGTTGTCAAGGTACCTTCACTTTCACCTCTCTCACTTTATTTTTACTATCATCTTCACAGTGACTTGTAAGCTCTACATTTCACTTTTTGGCTAATAAATTTTAAGCTTAACTTTTAACCTTTAATATTCTTACTTTAACTTTTAACTTTAATTTCTAACTTTAATTTTTAAACTAAACTTTTAATTTTAATTTTTCACTTAATCCTTAATCTTAACTTTTAACTTAATTTTTTTTACTTAACCTTTTAATTTTAAATTTTAACTTAACCTTTTAATCTTAATTTTTAACTTTAACTTTTTTTTAATTTAACTTTTAACTTAGCTTTTAATTCAAACTTAAGTTTTTATTCTTATGGTCAATTAATAGTAATAACTTACTTAATTATTTTTACTAAGTTTGCATAGTAAATTTTATTTAACATATTAATTTAATGTTCGTAACCATTGCTTGGAAGGCCTAAAACTAATTAAATTTTTAATATAAAGATTTAAATTAATCTAACGATTACACAATTAGGAGCTCTCCAATTCCACCTCTTGGACTTATTGTGTGGCATAGGTTTCATCAAGTGGTGAAATTTGGCCTCACACTTTGTGATGTTTAGGTTCTAAAATGACATTTATTGTAAAACAGGGAGAGGGTTTTGAGGAGAGAATAGGACCTTCACTAGGTGTTGTACAAGGTTTCAAGTACACAGTTCCTATTATAGCTGAACAAACTCGTTTTCTGACATACTATCTTCTTTGATAGCTGTACTTTTCATTTTATGGTTGTGTTGCTTCTTTGGACAATATTCAACAGTATGCTTAGATTTTTCACAATATAAGCACAATTCTTCGTGACGACAATGAGTCTTTTCTTGCTCAGTAAGATGTTTGAAACGTACTCCATCAATTTGCATATCCTCTACTTCTAAATATATGTGTTGAAGAGATTTTGGTGTTACCATTGAATTATAGTAACGTTGAGGTTCACCTGTATGGTTCTTATATCGAAATTCAAAAAGACAATTATTGCACTTCACAACAAAGTCAATTGCTTAATTCAATGTTTGAGGATCAAGTAAGTTGAGTATTATTATTTTTATCTCATATTGTAATCCGTAGAAAAATTAGCTAATAAGTGCAACATCATCCCACTTGATATCAATTGTAAGTTATTGAAACTATGAAGCATACAATGTTATTGATCGATTGCTTTGTCACAAAATATGGATCTTGTTGGTTGCAACACGAATTGCATCATGTTCTCCATACATAGATTGAAGCAGATCCAATCATTTTTATATCTTCACTTCCTACCAATCTTGTTGCTCTTTGTGGTGGTAAATTAAATTGATGCATCAAAAACATTAACTCCCTCAATTGCTCTTGCATTTGTGCTATGGCACTCTTCATTTCAGCAAGTTCTGCCATAATAATACTTAGAAAAGAAAAGATGTCTAATATTACTTAAGACAAATAGAAGAGAGGACTTGAGAACAAAGAAAATACAAAGAACAATATTAGTTTAGAAGAGGGTAATCCGTAACTTCTAATACGCTTATGTCTTATCAAGAGAAAGGGATAATCTACTCTTAATCAAGATTAGACAAAGCTCTGATATTGTAAGTGCACTCTTATTAATCTGTCAAGGACAAGAACTTGATAAAAACAAATAAATAAGTGAGACTTTTCTCAAAGAAAGATGACAAAATAGAAATAACTAAATATGTATATTAAGAAATAAACTGGAATGGCTATTGCCAAAAGACAAGAAAACTAGAGATCCTTGAAACTAGATTAGAAACAAGAAAGGAGTTGACAAGAGTGAAGAAGACTTCACTCTTGCCTCCATATATACTATCTACTTAGGAGCTACTTGGCGACGTTCTATAGGACCTCCAACAACGTGTTGACTATGTACAATACGTAACTTAACTTACAAGGCAAGTTTTCTATGTGGGCGCCACATAGTTAGCTTGTTCCACAAGCTACTAACATGTGTGGCATGTAGTTAACTTGTTGACCAAGTTTCTAACCTACCAATCAAATTTAAACACATGTAAAATCAAAGCAGCATCTAGAAGATATTATGAAACTAATCTACTTTTATCTACTTCTACTTATTCATATCATCTAGATAACAATTACAACAAATATATGTCCGTGACAGAAGGTCCTATAGAATATCACTCGTAGCTCCTAATTAAAGAGTACATATGGAGGCAAGAGTGAAGCATTCTTCATTGTTGCGAACATCTTTCTAATCATTAATCTTGTTCCAAGACTTTCTAGTCTTCTTGTTTTTGGCAACAGCCATTCTAATTCAATATTATATCATCTTTGAGTGATTTTCTAGTTCTTTTTAGTAATATATGAGTATATTAAGGATTTTCTTTTCTTGAGATTCATATCTTTGATATATAAATTACATGGATTATAATTAAATATATTTTTATATAATTTAAAATCAAACAATTGTTCTAATTCCTTGTCTAACTTATTATAAACTACTTGACTTAAATAAAAGATAATGAATATTATCTACAATCTAATATTATTTATATTTTAGCTATATAAATAATAATAGTAATAATAAATAGTTATAAAAAATAAATTATTAATCTAATTTTGAAACATATTTAATTTTATATTTAAAAAATCACTTTCTTTTCTTTTCATAAATCCAATCCAGATACTCTAAAGTAGTGAAATTTTTTTATATGTATATTCTCATTTTGAATCAAAATTAGTTATAAATTTCACTTTATTTTTAATAAAATAAACACACTGATTTTGTGTCATTATATATGCAGAAGAAGAAGAAGTAAAAAACGAGCTCTTACTTTTCTTTGAAAACACCTCCAAATAATCTCTCTCTCTCTCTCTCTCTCTCTCTCTCTATATATATATATATATATATACACATACACATGTACATATGTCAAAATTGTACTGAATGCTGAGAGTGATGAAGACGGTAGTGCTGAATCTTCTCACCGGAGCCATCCATCCATCCATCCATCCTTGGCCCTAATATACCTCTCGCTGTCCAAAACTCACCATTGGGCAAATGATTTTCTTCGATGATGTGGGCGCTAACACCCCAAAACTAAAACTTTCCGGATTACAACGAAGTTTCTCTGCGGGGGGAGACGCGATGAGGCGGCGTGGGAGCTGCGGAACCCGAGCGCGTGCCAGCCAGATAGAGACAGAGACACAGGAACAAGGACCTTGCTAAAGGAAAAAAAGGGGGAAGATTCAGCTGGAAGCCAACTCCGCTCCAACACCTTCATTCCATGCATCTCCACCTCCACTTTTCCCTTAACTTGTTAGCTTTCTTCTCTCTCCCTCTCTCTCGCACAGTGTCCATCGCCTCATCTCTGAAATTGCTCCGTATCCTGCTACTGTTGGGGTTGTGGAGATTTCTGGGTTCCGGAGTTGGGTATTCCGATTTTGAGTTCCAGGTCTGTCGAGGTTTGCCCGAATCTAGAAAATAAGTCGAGGTCCGCTGCTTGCGGAGTGTTTCGGAGTTGGCGTGATGCAATGCAGCGATTTGCAGTTTAGTGGGAGCTGAGGTGATCTGCAGAGGTGGGCTGCTCATTCGTAGTTGCGATCGGGAGGTGGGTGGGCGGGCGGGCTCAGACTGCGGTTGATCTGTGCCTCTGCAATGAGAAGTGAGTTTGTGAGAGGTGACGTGAGTGTGGCTGGTAAATTTTGTCGCTGATGGTGGAATTCAAGTGGCAGCGTTTGCCCAGGCACCGAAATCTCAAGGGCAGAGCAGGGCACACCGCCACTCTCGTCGGGAAGAGGATCTTTGTGCTGGGTGGTCGATTTGGGAATGTATTTTTCAATGACGCGTGGGTGCTCGACACTGAGACGGAGAAATGGGAGCAGCTGCAGGAACGTTGTGCTTTCAGCCCGCGAGCTTATCATACCGCGACTTTCGTCGGCAACGAGGAGATTTGGGTCATCGGCGGGAGTGACAAAGACGTCATGTATGGCGACGTGCATGTGCTCAACACGAATACGCTTGAGTGGACGAGCCCGTCCACAAAAGGACCCGCGGCTGGCAAATTGCTCGGCACTCACGCGGCTGTTGTGCATCCTTTGCAACCGAACACAATCATGGTGTATGGTGGCTATGGCGGCGAGGAGTCTAAGTGGCTCAACGACCTCGTTGTGCTGCACACTGACACGTTGGAATGGAAAGTTTTGAATCCAGGGGGTCCTTCTCCTGCTGCTCGAGGCTACCATACCATGACCTGCGTAGGGGCAAACGTGATTCTTTACGGAGGTAAAGGCGAGCATGGCATCATCGGATCTGCTCACAATCTTAGTGTCTACAATAGTGCTACCAACACTTGGGTAGGTCCTCGAGTTAAAGGAACTCCTCCTGTGCAGCGCTCCAACCACGCCGCTGCTCTGGTCGGGGAGAGTTTAATCGTGTTTCATGGTGGTCGGAATGGAACTGAACGACTGGGGGACATGTGTGCACTTAAGGTAACTTCGGGCCACGGCAGTCAAATCCGGTTGACATGGCACTTTTTTACTCAAGAACCGGTTGTGATGACTCGAGGCCGTAAACGTTCTGAAGATGGAGCAGCGGAAGCGCAGTCGAGGAGACCTGGTGGTCGAGCAGCTCACAGCCTGATTGCTGAAGGCAACGCCACTCTCTACCTTTTCGGTGGGTATGGTGGCTCCGGCGTGACATTTGATGATGCATATGTGCTCCGCAACTTCGCTGAAGCCACCGAGTTCCAGGAGTCCCTGGTGCGGGAACCGTTGAGAAGAAACGATCGGAGATTTTCTTTTCCAATGGAGGAGCCAAGAACGGGACCCATCGAAGGGTGGCGCAGTGCTAAGAAACCCCGGCGACCAGCTGCAGGAACCCTAGATTACAATGTCGATTCGACCGGTAAGGAGGAGCGCAATGCTGACCCTGGTGTCGAAGCTCCACCAGTTCGGACAATCGTGGAGTTGACAGAGACTCCCCCTCTAGAGAAAGATTTGCGGACAGTCAAGGAACAGGTGAACGAGCTTGTGACCAAAGCCAGATCAGATCAGGACTTTCTGAAAGTCAAGGAGCAGGTAAGTCAACTGGTGTCGAAATCCAGGTTAGATGGCGCAGAACTGTTGAATGAGCTGGATTTGCATCGGCGAGAGGTTGCAACCTTGCAACAGACAGTGGCTGCATTGAGCGGTGAAATTCGAGCCAAGAGTGTCGGAGAGACGGACACACGAGAACGGAATGCGGTGCTCGAGCATAACCTTGACGTGCACCGCCAGCAAGTGTCGGTGTTGAATGAGAAACTAGAACGGTTGACTGCGGAGAACGCAAGCCTGAGGTCAGAGTCCAAGGTAGTGGAGACCGAGAAGATTGACAGGGCGAGAGAGAGATCTGAACTGATGCTGAAAATCTCATCTCTGGAGGCGAGGTTGGCAGATCGAGACAGAGAGCATAGCAAGACGCTGCAGCTGCTTGGACATGCCGAGTCAAAGAATGCTGAGCTCGGTCGTTTGCTCGATGAAACGAGGAAGGAGAAGAAAGCTGCGACTCTTGAATGCAGCGAGCTCAAAATGAAAGCGCATAAGATAGAAGTGGAGCTTCGAAACTTAGAACGAACGCGAGAGAATTTCGACAAAGACAAAGGCGGGTTGCAGAATCTACTGGCGGATTCCCAAATCAAGCTGGAAAGGGTTTCAGGAGAGCTGGTGGCAATGAAGGAATCTGCGCGAACTCTTCATGAGACAGTGGAGCGGCTTGCGAAGCAGCTTGAGAGGGAGAACACTAGGGCGGATGCCCTAGAACGGGACCGAGATGAGTTACGACGAGCCAACACTGCCCTTTCCTCAGAGCTTCCCCAGATCAACTCTGCCCGCGAGAGCGCTGAGGCAGCTGCCGAGCTTGTGCGGTCCGAGCTCCGAACAGCTCGTGTCTTGCTTGAAAGAAGCGAAACGGAGAGCCTAAGGCTGCAAGAAGCAGCTGAAAATGCACGGCAAGAAATGGCCTCTCAACATGCGACGATGAAGAAGTACGAGGAAGACGCCAGGACTTTCAGGGACGAATGTGAGCGATGGAGAAAGCTGGTGAGCGAGATGGTGGATTTCGAACAAGCCCAAGCGCGAACTTTGCAAACCCATGTGGAGAGGATTCGGAGCGTTCGCTAGTTTTAAACTCCAACCAGTTCATTCTTTGTAGTTTAGTTGATTCTCGTCCACTAGGAGGATTTTATGATGATCGTCAATGTCGCACACTCTGTATAGTAAACCCATGTGCGGTCATTGAGCGCCTCATCTTTTCTTGTACCAACAACTTTACTACGTTGTTTTATGAAGACCCTGATTGTTGATGGCCCTACTTCAACCACCTTTGTACATAGATTTGATTCAGAACACGTGAATTCGGTGTCATCTGAACTTCCACCGACATGCTGTCGGTACCTGGGATTTTGCATTGTGCATTGAACCTGTTCTCTCACGTTTGAAGACTCCACTGGTTGATAATGAGGTGGCTTGTATGCGATGAACGCTGAGTCCCTGGGCTTTCATGGTGGTGTTCAAATTCTGGCCCATCGATCGAAGTTGGTCGAATACGCATTCAGCCAAACCCAAACCACAGTACCGTGGCTCAGTTGCACGTTTGATGTTATGAGAACAACCTTCTGTGTGCAACCTGATGGCCCTCGCCTGCAGATCATGTATTTCTGGTCGAAAAGCCTTCAATTTCCGCGGTAAGTGCAGCAATGGTGCTTATCGAATTACACCCATTTCAAGTGTCCTCGATTTTTAGCTAAAAATGTGACGATGAAGGATTGCGTTAATGAACTCCATATCTTTGTGGATGATCCTGTTCAAGTCAAAGAATTTGAATCAGGATTTGTTAACAAAAAGAAGTTCAGGATTTGCTAATATAGGATTTCAACCAAATTCAACCAATTTTATTACATGTCATGAGTATACGAAATTTTACTCTGATACGTAGACAGAGAGAATGCTTCTTTTCCCAAAACAAGTGCCACTGGCGTCACCAAAGTCACAAACAGTAGTACTTTTCATTTGGCGCAATTTCCTGTAGTTAGAAGGAAAATGTAGGATTGGGTTTGGAAATGATCATACCAAAAATACCATTCTTTTATATGAAAATCATTAAATTCTCAAGAATAACACTCAAATGTCATTGTGCTGTGCTAGAATTCCGCTTACATTGGATTGATTGTTTGAATTTTTTATATGAAGTTGCATAGAATCATGCTCATGATTGTAAGCAATCTTGCCAAATTGAGATACTAGTTTTATGGTCGTTTCACTAACAAATCATCTTCCTTGGTAGGAGTTAACTATTTTCATTCAAAGACACTCTCTCCAATATCCCTGTAATTTGATTAAATGCCCTGACATCTAAAATTTCTTATGTTTAATTCAAATATGATTTTAAAAAAAATTACGTTTACAGATAACATTCCAAGGACTTTCGCAATGAAAATTGTTATTTTTTTTGTTTATTTTATTAAAGAAATTGTGTGTTTATACAAAAAAGAGATGAAAATTTCGGAAGAGTCAATATATATGAAATCCAACACTAGATTTGAGACACCTATTCTTCATCAAGCATGGGAGAAAGAAATCGACAGAAACACATAAAAGAAATAAAGAATATGCCTGATAGTTATCCTTAAAAATTGCATTAAAATGAATTACAATAGTCTACCTCGTACATTTAGCTTTAGCCAATTTCTTTTTCTTCTTTTTCAATGCTTTTGGAAGTTTGGTTTTTCGTGCCTCACGTTTCTCAGCCTTAACTTTCTTTTTGTGTTCTTTCCTAGCTAAACGTGCAGCCTCTTTCTTTGGGTCTCTGGGAGCAGTACCATCCGCCGCATCTTCATCATCACTATCACCTTCATCATCGGTATTTTCTGTAGCTTCATCATCGTCCTCCTCATCATTCTGGACTTCACCTATTGTCAGGTCGATGGCAACCTCTGCCTGATTCTCAGCCGATCTTGCAATATCCTTAACACCTGCTTCAGCAGCTTCGACACCGCTGTGGGATCGACTGGTATCAAGATGTTGAGCACCATGAGGTTTAGCAGTTTTTTCAGCATCTTTACTGAGTTCACCGTCACCTCCGTCGTCGCTGACAACTTCACTTGCAGACACCTTTTTGACATCTTCAGCACGGGCCACGTTATCTGATGATAACCGAACTCCTGAAAGGTCCTCTTTCAGACCAGTAATGGTTTGGTAGTAGATCCCCTCAGTGTCCTGGCCGCTTTTCATTCGCTCCTGGTCTCTTTCGTAGTCTTCGACTTGGTCCAGAGATTTCGGAATGAACGACTGTACGAATAAGACAAATAGAAATTTTGTTAGCTAGATCTCCGAATACCCTGGAATGAAGACGTTTTGCACGTACTTGAGGCTTACTGAACAGAGCAGAAACAGAAGTAAATCATGAAATTCAGGTCTTAGTTAGTGCGAAGCTGATTAGTAATTGTAACAAAAGACGAACCTGAATAAAGACGGCCTCGGCAACCTGCTCCTCAGCTGTCTGTTCTGATGACCTGTTCTCAATTTTCTCTTGGATCTGCATATAAGCTAGAAGTTCAGCCACGCAACACGAAACAAATACCATACCAAGAAACTTGGAAATCACCGAAGCGAACTAGACTAGGAGTAAAGATTTGAGGAAAACCAAATTAAGAGTGTAGAAGCTGCACCTTCGCAAGATAATCATCAATTTGGTCTTCAGCAAGAGTTGGATCCACACAAAAGTCAAATAGCTCCCTAGTACTCATCACTCCGACACCGTTTTTCTTGAAAAAGTCCTATATAATCCGAAATATATCCTTGTCAGTACTGGATCACTACATAATTTTGAAACACATCGTCTTTCATTGAGTTTCCTAAACCACATAAAGAAAACAGCCGTATATCTCCAAACATCACATCCCAGACAAGTCAATCACGAAAATCATCCAACAAAGAATCTCCATATCATCGGTAAGTATTTCTAAAGCTGTAGCATGAGGTCCATTCCTAGCTAGCATTCCAAATGCGAACAACTCAGTGCATGTCATCGCTTAAGATAGAGAGGAGACATACCGATACGTGTAAGCAGTCTTCCCTTAGAAAATCCAAAGCACGGGGATGGTCCAATTCAACAGATTGTGAGACATCAATGATGTATAGATGACCCTGCAACAGTGCTCAATGATCAGGGCCCCATAGAGCGGAACGTGCATGCATATAATCAAATTAACAACAATTCAACAAGCAGACATGATAAAGTTGACTTAATTATAATAAGTGCACAAGCGCAACACATAGAGCCTCCTCAAATGTAAGGAGTGTTATGCTGGAAATACTATAATAAAATTAAGGCCATCTCCAGTCCGTACCGAGTACATAATAAGAAGCACCGAGTAGTACCTCATGATAAAGTATGTTGTATTCACTCAAGTCTCCATGTACGAGCTTACATACTTGATACATTTTACGCATCGTCAATACCATCTGCACATACACGTGTAATTAGTATATAGGGTAGGTCAAAAACATGTTTAAAGCTCTCAAAAATTCAACAGCTTCATTGAAAAATAAGCAGTGAAAGGCACGAGAGCTGCAAAAAAAACATAAGCTTGTTAGCAGGCATTCAAGTCCAGAAAGAATGGGAGCCAGGACGTTAGCGCTCGAGAACTGGAGAAAATGGATTCCGTACTTCAAAATAACATTCCCTCATTTTAGATTCAGACAGGACAGCGTCCTTCAGACGTGGAGCAGCCCAACCCTCTTTTCCTGTAAGCATTGCACAATCAACTGTCAACTTCCAATCCTTCGCCGCCTTGTGTTGCTTTATAAGTATTAAAACACCAAAAAAAAAAAAAAAAAAATCGTACATTTACTTTTCTCATCAACAAACACAATTGGATTACTAACATCATTCGAATTTGAGAGCCACAAGTCATGAGTACAGAAGTGAAACTAGATACGGACGTTGGAAGGAAAAGCAAGGATACCAATAAAGGTCATAACAAGCACGTGTAACCGAAGAAGAACGGGAGTTGGGCTCAAAATTCCAGCAGTATTTAATCTGCGTAGTTGTTTCATCCGGTCAGAATAAACCAAAGTTAGGCATAGAGATGGATTTATTAAAACTTGAAAAGTAATAAATAAGCAGTTTTAGCTCCAACCAGATTTGTAACTGAAGATTAACATTATAGAATCATAACCTCGATTATCTATATAATGCGCATCACATAAATCATACCGAAGTAAAACATTATATTATAATCCCGAATTGACAGTACAAAGTTGCAACTCTTGAGTAGGCAAAACCAGGGAATACATAAAAGATCGATCAAAGTACCTATTTAAATTACGCATCTCCTTCTCAGCCCAGGTCTTGACCATCTTTCGGGGATTGTGTTTGCTATACCCATGTCGAAATCTAAAATCTCCTTGCACATATCTCTCTCGATCCCTATTCAGGCCCAGTAACAAATGCCGTGAGAAAAAAGGGTGACGCTGCTTTCATCCTTTGTGGCAGACCACCCAAACAGAAGAAAAAAAACATCTACGAAAACAGAATGGCAAAAAAATTCATTACTTTAAATGAAAATCTAGAGAAACCTAAAATCCTAAGCCTTCAACACCAGCATTGGCTAAATGATAAGAACAGCGGGAAATACTGAAAATTGGAAAATAAAGACGGAAAATTTAGCAAAGAAAGCTTACTTAAAAACAAGGATAGAGGTTTTGTAGACTTTCACAGCTAGTTCCTCTCCTGAGGAGGTGGTTGCATGATAAACATTGGCCTGAGAGATAAACACATACAAATATTGGAAGTCCGCATCATTCAAACCCGCATGATTAACCACAAAACTATTCAATTCCTCAACCAAAGGCAAAACGGCGACCACAGAGCTCGACTCAACACATACACAAAGGTATCACTTATACCTCTTTTCCAGTCGAAATGCATCCATTAAGCTCCTTGAACACTCCACGATTCAGCATCTTAAATAAGACCATTCGCGTCCTAGGATCAAGGGCCTGTCAGCATGAAAAGCATGCAAAAGAGAATTCAACAATAGGTTCAATGAAAAGTCCACAGCGTAACACCTTCACGACTAGAATCTACAAATCCTAGAAAAGGAAATCAACTCACCTGTTCCACGGTGGCTCTGTCTTCTTTCCCCTTCACATGTATTTTGCCTTCGGCTTGTCGCCGCATACTGTCCCTAACCGAAGTTGAAACTGAGTTGGCAATTCCCATGCCGGAATGCTCCTTTAACATCGCAATCTCGGTCTCCTCCATCATCTCGATGGACCAGGATGTCGATGGACCAAGATCTGCATTAGGTGTCAAAATCTCAAAAATTTTGTTGAGACCATCAGAGCCATGCTAACAGAAGCGAATTCTGAACATAATATGTCAACGCCAAAGCACAACACAAAGCAGCTCTAAAGCTTTGATCACTGTTTCGTTCCCAACAATCGAGAGGCACTTTTCCATGAGTACTGGCAAGGTATACAAAAGTACACGGAAGGAGCACCAACCATTGCCTTCATCTTCATCACCGCTATCGTCTTCCAGGAAATCATCTCCGTCGACCTAGTCACAATCACTCTCCTCGATCAATAGATACCAACAAAGACAGCACCCCATTAAGTAATCCCCCTAAAAACGCGACACCGTCATGGAAAATGAGCTGAGAGTGCAATGATCCCAATCTAAACGGGAGAACGACACGACAATAAGAATACACAATTTTCCGAGGAATTGAACTTTCAGCCTTAGCACTCACAAGCTCCTCTCAGCACCAGTATTCTCTCACCCTTCCCGCAATCATTCTCTACCAATAACAGCACTTCTCCACGCCAGTATCAAGCGCAAACACGCAATTCTCTGTACCCCTCAATTAGGAACAACTTACCTCTTCGCCGATTTTTTTCTCGAGCTCCGTCACAGGTTCCTCATGCTGAACGTCCCCCATGGTTGCGAGCTACCTGAATCCAAAATGCGCTGAGCGTCAATCGCGATGCTCCAGACAGGGCAGCATCCCAGGCCAGGGTTTAGGGTTTTAGCTATCCAGCAAGTTGTGAGATCCGCGACAACACCACTCGCATCCCATTCTTCCCTCTCTCGCTCCCTTTAGGGCTGAGCTGGATGTATATTGAACGGATGAAGATATCACCATCCATATTTTCCACATTCATTTCCTCTACGAACTGTGTACGTTTCTGATACAATTTGTCCACTGTATTTTATACACTATAGATACGGTGTCCGAATTGTGTTTTGCTGGACCGAGAATCGTTCGTTCGCAAACGTTGTCTCAAATGCAAGCAATTAGGGCTTCTGTAGTTTTGCAGGAGCGTTCAAAGTCCTGCACCTTTCAGCCCTGCTCGTGGACAGCTTTTGATTTTTTTTCCTTGTAGAACTGCGGTGGTTTGTAGGGCGAAAGAGTGACAATCTGACAGGCTGCTGAAGGTGTTTATTGCGGGCGCAAACTCATCGGTAACAGGTTGCAATTACAGAAGGACAAAGAAGAAGAGGAAGCAGGAGGTGGGAGTGGAGGTGGTTAGAGATAGAGACTGTGTAGATTGTGAAGGAGGGGATTTGGTTGAAATATCCATGCGTGTCGAGAGTGTGCGATGAAGATGAAGAGGTTGTGTGTTTATCCGTAGGGCCAGTGATAGTGGCAGTGAAGAGAGCAGGCGTGTAAGTGATTGGGAAAGAACGGAGTGGGAAAGGGCAAGAGCGCGGGAAGAGATGGAGGCATCGACGTCCTCTGCGATGATAGCGCGCCAGACATGGGAGATAGAGAATAATATCGTTGCCACGGATTCGCCCGCAGCTACTTCAGATTCCGATGCCATCTTTGAGTACGACGAAGCGGCTCAGAGCAGCATTCAGCAGCAGAAGCCTTGGACTCGCGATCCCCACTACTTCAAAAATGTCAAGATATCTGCCCTCGCACTGCTCAAGGTTTGCCAGACTCCAATTTTCCCCCCTGTAAACATCTGTTGCTCCCGGTCTAACCCTAATATGTTGCTCCTCACGTGGAATTCGCTAGGTGTTTCTCTGTAGAGATTCGTTTCAGCTCTAATCTGATGTCGCGTTCGTAACTGGGATAAATGCCTTGGCTAGTGTCACACTCGAGTTTCTCAATCCAGAGTTTTGGAATATCTTGCATGTTTTGTTCAAGAAAACCAAGAACTCCGGCTTAAGACTCAATTTTATGAAGCTTATTTTAGTATCAACTTGAAGCAATCCAATTTGGTGATCTATCGTTCCAAGAAATTTATAACTGAGGCTTAGTGCTCCCAGTGGCATTTACACCTTTTTGTTCTACAGGCTGTAGCTGAGGTACTGTGCTTGTTAAAATTGTGGACTAGTTATTCTTGAGTTAGGTTCAACTTAGACCACATCATTATTGAATCGATAAGTTACTATGGCTCGCAATTCATGTCAAATTTGTGAGTGTACGATTACGACTGCAAGCTGCTATACTGCTAGCTCTATGGACAGGCGTCTGTCGGTATTGCTATCTAGCTAAAAAACGAAAGATTTGTAAGATGGAACTTGCTTACGTCATTGTTCTGTCGCTAATATTTATGTAGAAAATGTGATCTCAACGCCTACTTATTGTCTCTTCCTCTTGCGCAGATGGTGGTTCATGCACGATCTGGTGGCACGATTGAAGTCATGGGCTTGATGCAGGGAAAGACGGACGGGGATACCATTATAATCATGGATGCGTTTGCTTTGCCAGTAGAGGGCACAGAGACTCGGGTGAATGCTCAAGCGGATGCGTATGAGTACATGGTCCAGTACTCTCAAACGAATAAGCAGGTAGGTTTTGTCTGTCGTACACATCACCTTTCTACCTTGTTGCAATTCGATCAACTTTACTCACTTAGCTTGAATGTTGTTGGAGGACAATGGATGTAACCCATTCTGCTCCAATCGTGATGAGACTATATTAACATTGGATATTCACGCAGGTGGGGAGACTAGAAAATGTGGTAGGCTGGTATCACTCGCATCCTGGCTACGGTTGTTGGCTTTCGGGTATTGATGTGTCCACTCAGATGCTGAATCAGACTTACCAGGAACCCTTCTTAGCCGTGGTTATTGACCCAACGCGCACTGTGTCCGCTGGAAAAGTTGAGATTGGAGCATTCCGCACCTATCCTCAGGGTTACAAGCCGCCAGATGAGCCCCCATCTGAGTATCAAACAATTCCTTTAAATAAAATTGAGGACTTTGGTGTCCATTATAAACAGGTCATAGTCCACATTATCACGTCATTCTCCATAGGCTGACAAGGCATTTGCCAAATTTTAATACCTTTCCAGCACTAGTATGTTTTTCCATCTTATGTGCCTGGCAGTAGTTTGACGCTCTCGACTTCATATTGAAATTTCTTGAACTTCCACTTGTAATGCTCTGTGATTGTAATTTCAATTTGCTATTGGAGAAGAAGCTTATTTGTGCTTACTGTATGCGATTGCAGTATTATTCTCTTGATATAACCTATTTCAAGTCATCATTGGATTCGCACCTGCTGGATCTCCTCTGGAACAAATACTGGGTCAACACTCTTTCATCATCACCTTTGCTTGGCAATCGGGACTATGTCGCAGGGCAAGTGGCTGATCTTGGTAAGCCACTGTTGAAGTATCTGTTTTGCCAGGGTCCTCAATGTCGGAAAAGTTTTTGATTGTCGATTTTCTGGTTGTGGATTACGAAGGTTAGTTGTTTTCTGTGTTATTAATTTTGTCATCAAATTCAGACGATGCATTGCTTATTGAGCAGGTTGGTGCTAAAACTGGTTTGATATGTGGATGGTGATGGTTCGTATTTGACTAAAAGGTTGTCAATGAAGAGTACTAATTTCAACACCTTGAATTGGATCTTAAATCTAACAATGCGGTGTTTCTCAGCGGAGAAGCTGGAGCAAGCAGAGAGCCAGCTAGCTCATTCTGGGCGCATGGGAGGATTCTTCATGCCAGTACAAAAGAAGAAGGAGGTATGGGTTTTTATTTAAGCTCAATTACTCAATGTATTGATCAGATTGTTGATATTCTTTGAGCACCTGTAGGAGAGCTGGTCATTTCTGCCAGTACTTCTGATTTATTTGGGCCGAGATCTGAGGTCTTGCTGTCTGGTTATTCTAGTTTACATTGAGGAATTCTTGGTAATTCATTGTTCCCGTACTTCATGTTTATTTGTTATTTAAAATAATTGTTTGACTCGCTCTTGCAGGAAGAGTCCCAGCTTGCAAAAATCTCTCGCGACAGTTCCAAGATAACCGTGGAGCAGCTGCATGGGCTAATGTCACAGGTCATTAAGGATACTTTGTTCAACTCAGTGATGTCAAGTAGCAACGCGCCTGTGGCAATGTCAGCTGAAACATCTATTGTAGCCACAGATTCCTCTGGACCAGAACCTATGGTGGAGGCATAGTTCTGTGAACGAGTGTGTATTAGGGTTGTTATTCCATCTCAGGACAGGCTTCGTCTGAACTTTAGCCATGGCAATGAAGAATTGCCACATAAATGATGTCTCCGCACCATTGATGTTGACTTTGGCATTACGAAGAAAGAGGCATTATGATGTATCTGTCTTGAACGTGGAACGCTAACCATTACTTTACAGTCGAACTCTACTAGTCCTTGGCAGGAAATTGGAGACCTGATGTTGCTGGTATCATGACGTGTACACTTTGATTTCAGAATCTCTTCATTTCGATTTAAGTTGCTGTAGATATTTTCGACAATGGTCAAGTTCGATGACTTAACTAAAACCGTACATTTTTTATTTTTATTTTTATTTTTATTTTTGTCTCTTCGGTGCTTTCCAAAGCATAACCACTTTAACACTTGACTACATAACCCCTGTTGATCATGCTTCTGTCTAGGCAACCTCCTATTTTTTTAGCTAGGAAAACAAACCTATTGGCTCTAAGCTGGAGCCCTCGTTCCTTGTCGATTCAAAGCCATCTTGCTTGTTTTTCATATGAATTGGTATATCAGTTTCGATGGAATTGCATGGCCTTAGAAGCAACAGTAACAGACTGAAATTGTACACAAGTGGATTTGGAATCTTACAATATTACATTGGAAATGTCAAAATACATTTCAAGCATATGTAAGTTGTCCTATGGTTCATTTGTAGATGTGATGCATAATTTATTTATTTGTAAATTCTTTTGCTCTTAAGCAATTTACGTCATGTAGAAACTAAGGGTCTGAATGATTTTAGGTGCAAAACATCACCAAAGACAATGTTACAGAATAGATTTATCAATGCATTCAACAGTAGAACATTTTCAATTTACTCTCCTATTTTAATTCATTTGTGTGAGGGGTTAAAATACACTCTAGTACATACAAGTTTTTTCCTACGGTTTCTATTGTGGTTGGGGTTCGTAATTTATGCGTTTATTAATTCTTTTGCTTTTGAAAAATGTGCGTAGTTTAGCCACTAAATGTCTAAATACTCCAGATACAAACTAACACCCAAGAACAATGATTATAAAGTGAGTTATTTAGGCAACTAATATCATACCATTTTAAATTTATTACTATTTGTTTATCTCATGTGTGCAAGGCGTCAAAATGCACTTCAAGTACGTACAAGTTGGTCCTATGGTTCTTTCGAAGTTGTGATTCATGATTATTTATTTATTTATTTATTTTGCTCCTAAACAATGTTCATCTTTTAGCCACTGAAGATCTACGTGTTCTAGATGCAACCAAGAACAATGATACAAAGGAGAGTTATTAAAGTGACTGATATTAGACCATTTTAAATTTACTATTTTTAATACATAATTTGTGTGAGGAGTCAAAATACAGATCATAAACCCATATTCCCTTTTTTTTGGTTTTCCTAGAAAAGAACCCCATGAGAGTCATAAACATCATATACATGTAAGACATTATATAAATCAAAATAAATATTGTAAAAATAATGTTATCAATTATGATTATTACATCATACGTACATATATAATAACTCTAACATCTCTTGAGTCACACGACGACACATCGTTAAAATAATCTATGGTCCAGATCGGCTTCAGGTGTGAAAAGGGAGTAACTACCTTAGGGGCCAATACGAGCGGTACCTCGAATATAGTCACCTGAATTAAGAGATCTCGAAAGCACAAGATCTCAATTTTCGAGACCTGGATGGCAAGGGGCTACCGTGGTCTCCGCCGCTGAGCGGAGACAAGGTGGGGTGAGGGAGAGGGGGGGGGAGCGGGGCTACCGCATCGAAATATAACTGCTTTGGACAAATCTCGGTGGCTTAATCCGCACTCCACTGTGCCCGAAGCCGAACCCACTTTGCCAGATTTTTATAACACTCTGTAGATTGCCGAAAAAGTGTCTTGCGTGATACTGAGGCGGAGTGCCGTAGACAGGGAGACGGAATCGGCTGGCGCGGAGACGGTCTGCATTGTGTGAACATTCTGGGTTTTTGGCAATGATTTGTAGCTATTCTGTGGTTGTGTCATGGTAATTTATCAGGGCAGGGAGTTTGGCGTGCTGCGTGGGTGTTGAGATAGAAGGTATGAGCTTAAGGGGGATTGCTATGTCATCTTTGACAGCGGCGCAGTCTCGTGGTAGTGCTGTTGCTGGTGCTGGGTCAGTGGTTTCGATGTCGTTCACACGAGCTTTGAGGAGTGGAGTGTCGTTGGCTAGCGTGAGGAGAACTGGGTTGTCGTCTTTGGGGTCGGTGGGGTGCTGTCGGTTGCGGATGCCGGTGCCAGTGGCGGTGAAGCAGTTGAGGACGTATTCTCAGGGTTCGAGGGTGGCGGCGATGGGGGGTTTCCAAGGGCACGAGGTGGAGCTGGACACCACGAACGAATTTCCGAGGCCCAGCAGTGTGCGGTGGTCGAAGGAGATGGCCAACACTGTGCAGTTGATTGGGAATGTGGGACGGGATATGGAGATCAAGTACTTGGACACCGGGAAAGTGGTGGCTAAGACTAGTTTGGCTGTTCAGAAATATGGTCTGAAGAAGGACGAGCCTCCTAGCTGGTAAATTCCGGTCTGCACAGCAATGGCAATTAGATTTGGCATTCATGAAAGCAAATGTTAGGGTTTAAGTTTAGAGTCGTTGAAATTAGGTTTGTATCTTTGGCATTGCCGAAATTCCTGAAAAAGATAGGATTATAACGACTAGCTACTATGTCAAAAATGTCTCATGCTTATTCAGTGTAGGCGAGAGGACATGTCAGTTATGGAGGTTGGAAGTATTTGACTTTCAGAATTGTTGTGGTGCAGGTTGGAGATGGAATTCTGGGACTCTCTTGCTGAAATTGCTGGCCATCATTTAAAGAAAGGAGACCAGGTGTATGTTGTGGGGAAATTGACGGTGGACCAATTCACGACAAATGGAGTGGTCAAAAAAACGGTTAAGGTGGGGAGTCGGTTTGTGATGATGTTTGTCATTCGCAGTTAGATGGTAACTCCTTTCTGACTTGCTCGCGTTTTAGGCCCCAGTTCATTAGGTCAACAACTTATCCATTCAGGAATATGTGGTATCCAGGTTGTAGCGACTGACGTCCATTTCGTAGAAGGTAGTCGAGCTTCAGCGACTGGCAATGCGCAAAGTGGTCGTAGCTTCTCATCACCTTCCTGGACACAAGCACCTCCAGCACCATCTCAATCTCAGTCACGTTCTGGTTCGCATCTCGAGAAACTCACTATTGATTTGATCCTGGAGTTTTGTGAGGATAAGAGCATTGTATTTTCTTTTCTTTTATTTCTTGTAGTTGACCATTGTTTTGTCTTAGTGGGGTTGACCGTATGAAGATGCTACTAGTTGGCTTCACTTAACTCTCTAGAGGACCTTCTGGGTACAGGAGCAGATATGTATGCTGCAGCTAATGCCGAAACAGAGAAGCTATGGAATGAATATTTTTCAGATCCTAATCAATGGTGGGATAATCGAGCTAAAAAGGTGAGATGGGAAGACGTGTCTGTCATTAATGCTGATATTTTGCTCCTTGTTGCTAGAGTGTGTCTTGTAGATGTATATCTTAACTCATTCTGTATGGAATTCTGAATTATGTGCATTGCTTTCTTTGTTGCCAATGTGGCAGCCCAGCCCAAAGACTCCGGATTTCAAACATAAGTCTACGAACGAGGCATTATGGATAGTGAGCAAGAAGACTCCATCGTGGGTACCAGGTCAGCTGGAGAAACTGGAAGCAGCAAAGCAGAAATTTATTGCGAGTGGTGGAGGGATGCCGCGTCAATCAAACAGTATTTCCGGGGTAGATTTCAAAGATTTCTGAAGATGGTGGATCTTTGATTGTGCAGTGTTTCTTTTGTCCTGGAAAGTTCTATACGGGTTTTTTTTTTTAATTTTAATTTTTAATTTTTTTTTTTGACTATCTAACCTGTGTTCTTGTGGTTACCGTCACAAGATCACTCCATGTTAGTGACCAGGATCAAATTTGGTGTTCACATGCTATTACCATAAAACTACTTAGCTATGGTACATGATGAAAGTTTTTAGGTCAAAATTGGTCACTTCTGGGTTTTCGGGATTGCATGTATTTAGAAAAGACACTATCTTTTTCTCCTCTTGGTAGATGTTTAAAGGTTGAAATTTCGATAATGATCTAATGCATGCATAAAAAGGTCTGTGACCAATTTTGATGATACGAATAGAAACTAATACGAACAAAAAAAACAAAAAACAAATCCATTACATCTCACAGTTTACGACTTTGTCCCAACTTGTGGTATGTGGCTCATAAAATTACAACTAATTTTTTGGTATTATGGCAATGGAGCCGATGTGGTGGAATGAGTACTCAAAAGCCACAAACTTGAATATGATAATTTCTCAAAATTATTACCTCAAATTAAACAATCGGATCAATATTTATAGTTTAGTCATTCGACCAGGTACTACAATGAAGGTTTAATATTTGATAATTTATAAACTAACTCGGATGTTCAGGGAAACAATATTCTTCCAAGAATGCAGTGAATTAAAGAATCCACCGCAAAGTGCATGTCTTCCAATCCTATATTATTTATCCTACAAATTACAAACATTATGGAGACAACTTGTATAAATGATTCCGTTTCATTATTCATTATTTGAATTTTGTCTTCAATTCATGTCTTCAAAGCAGAGCACTCCAAGACTAGCTGAATTACTCGACCAAATTTCTACCTCGGTTGGAAATCTAGTCCGTGTATACAACCACAGATGTCTGGAGACGTAAGAAATGCATTTGAAAGAATCCCCTGATAGAATTCTAACGGACGATGCAAATTCTAGAAGAGCCCATCTGTTACCTCTAATAAAAATAATAGGTTAATCCAGCGTTTGCATACCCTCTAATACCCATACTCATAATCAGTTCGTAGTGTTGAGGTGTCTTGTCCTTCAATTTAGTAAAAATATACATGGGTTTCATTAAGAGCTTCACAATCTCCATCTTCATCTAGGTATGGAAATGCTGCAAATGTGATCGACAGGAAAATTAGACCATGCAGGAACTTACCCATGCAATTTGCAACAGCTGTGAGAGAGGCTACCCATCCTTGAAAATTAGCAGTATGCACCACAGTATGAGCAGTGTTTAACTTGAGGAGATTGCAGTCAAAACGTGTCCGCTAGGGTATTCTCTCTGCTGCAGAGATGCTCCTCTACATCGATACCAATCTACATAGCTCGTCAGGCTTGTAAAGGATCACCGAGTCATCACTAAGAGATCAGTTGAAGAGGATGCTACATATCTATGCCCGTTACTACAAAACTTTAAACCACGTCAAAACCTTGACTCTAAATGTCACATGCGGATGTCATTCACCACCGCCGTGTTCGCTTTCTGTTGCTTGACTGCGGCTTGATGACGCTCTGGTTATCTCGTAGTATCAATCCAAAAGGCAGTGCCAGTATATCGAAGCCAAATGAGATGTCAACTAATTCTGCGTTCCAGCAGACGAAGTTTGAATATTTCTTGCTTCCGTTTGTGAAGTTGTAGATACTCCGGCAGGCAACCAACATGAAGGCTCTCTAGAATTCATACCTTGCACAAGCAAAATGGGTCCAGGTCGACATTACGGGCTCCTGCACCCTCGTCTTGCAATCTGGGCTAGGGTTTCATATCGGCATAACAAGATCACCAAATGATAGGAAGCGGTCACAGCACCCGCCTTTCGGTAATTCGAATGAATCAGATGAAAAAGATGAGCACACCGAGGACTACGGCAGCAATCACAGCGTACTTCAGCCCGGAGAGTGTGATGGCTGCTGCTACAAGTAACAGCTGCCAGCCTATCAACGCAGCGGCATAAAGAAACAGCCCTGTCAATACGACCGCCAGCACATTCTCCACACTAGGCTCCAACACATCCTTCCACTGCAAATCCCCTCTTCCATCCAAAAACAAATCAAGCTCCTCGAGCTCCCGCTGCCCCCTCGGATCCTCCTCCCACTCCTCACCGAACCCTAACCTCTTAAAGCCATATTCCCACGCTTTCTGCCAAATCGGCCTCCGTTTCGCACCCTCGGAGGGTTTCTCTCTCCCAACCTCGAGAGGCCTTGAATTCCCCTCATCTCCATCTCCTCGCATAGCACTCACGAAAATCCTCCTAGTCGCAGCCCCTTTACCCGAAATCCGCAAGCGCCTGCCATGGCTATCACGAATACCCTGACCGCGAAATTGACGAGAAATTAGCAACTCCTGCTTGGGCACGGAAGGTGAGGCAAATCCGCTGCTGATGTGCAAGGATTCCATAGCGAGCTCTCAACGAGATTGACGACTGATCACAGGACAAGATATCTGACATGCAACTGTCTCGATCAACGACAACCGCTACGCTTCATCTGTATCAGTTATCCAAAGACTAGGAGAAAGAAGGTTCCTTGAGTGCAAGAAACCAAGCAAATATGTTTCATTGTCACCCCCAAAATTCTCGGCCTCCCTGCTCACAATGTTATCAAATAAGTGCTCTGTGGTTGCCACGACAAACTTTGTGAGAGATTCTAACCTGGACCTACACCTCGATGAAATCTAAGACAATTCGTATCTTTACTCATTCATCGTCACTCATCCAACGACGATTGTCTCCGTGCAAAAACCGACGATAGAGCGAAAAAATAACATAAAATAAAATAAAATAAAATAATCCAGTTTGGTCATCTGAACAATCCGAAACTGCTGCGTCGAAGAGTTGCGTCAACACATTTAAAGCAAAATTATGATAAATTTTGTCAGATAACCTCGAGGACATCTTTCTATAAAACAAGTTTGGTATCTTGAGTACAAATCATTTACGTGTTGCGCAGCTCTCGCGCTTACCTCTCTGGCCTGTGCGAGTGCAGTATCTCGATGATAAATCCTGCAAGTGATTCATGTGGTTTGGAAGGACTGAATTTGAGCAGTTCATCGTCAGGTTTTCTCAAAACCACAAACGCATTATTTCCGTTACAATGCAGCGTTTGCACTGAACGCGTGGATTTTCTAGGAATTAAATAGACATAGCTAGAAGCTGACTTGAGCAAGCTAAGAGCGGGGAAGGTGAATCTCACGAACATGAACATCGCAACCGACAATGCGGATGCACATTTCGAAGAATCTGAAACCCTTCCCCCTGAGAGCAAGCTTGTAAATTACCGAAACAAATCCCACGACAAATACCCACCTAGATTTCTGTGAAGCAAATCATCGTACATGACAAGATTGTCGATTATCCCACTCGATTGGTGGGAGATTAAAAATGCGGACGAATGCGCGCCGAACGCTCTCGCCGACACTCGCTCCGACACGTTATCGATGCCGACAGTCGACGACGGTGTGTCCATGTATACCAAAACTGCATGTTATTTGTTCGTTTTTTATATTTTGTACTTTTTAACACGAACTGGTGTATGCAAGATGCTTTAAATTAATGAATTATTAAGCCAGACAGGTTCTTCTTAGGGCGGATTGAAGAGTAGCCAGATCAAAATTATGTATTCGTAATGCTTTTGGTTAATCAATTATTTTAGGGGAATGTTAAATAGACCTGCTTTTGATGAAGAATATGGTAATGAATGATGAATGTGGTTGGTTTTTATTGAAAATAGACCTGCTTTTGATGAAGAATATGGTAATCAATAATGAATGTGGTTGGTTTTTATTGGTTGCAGATCCAATAGTGGAGAAATGAATCTAGAAGTCATTTTTACTTTAATGGTTAGGATGGGTGGGTTGATTTAGTAAAAATTTGGGTCTATTTGACATTCTTTTTATTTTAAGGCATTCATGTCCTTCTTAGTGTGGATTAAGGAGTAGCAACATCAAAATGGTCTATGTTAGATACTTTAGAATAATCAATTGTTAATAAGTAACTAAGTTATTTTGAGGAGAGCTTAAGGAGTAGCAATATTAAAATGATGCATGTGTAATGCTTTGAATTAATCAATCATTATCAAATATCCAAGCATTTATTATTATTATTTTTTAGAGTGAATTGAAGAGTAATAAGATCATTATGATGTATGCCTAATGTTTTAGATAAATTAATTGCTATGAGACAATTGATTAATCTAAAGCATTATGTATAAACCATTTGAATTTGATATTACTATTCTTCAATTTGTCCTAAAAAAAATGTCTTGATGTTTTATAGCATTTGATTAATCTAAAGCATTAGGCATGTACAAATTTAATCTTGTTATTGCTTAATTGAAAATCTTGTTATTGCAAAATTATGTATTACCTATCAATTTTCCCTTTATAGTAATTAATTAAGCTATTGACATCTTAAAATAAAATAATAAAAATCTTCTAGCTGAAATTGTGTTTTAATAACTCATCATATTTATCTCATCTCTAAATAAGATTCTTCTATAAAATAATAATTTTTTCTTTGTAAATTCTATCATATTCCAATTATCCTTCTAGTGTCTATAATATATGACTAGATAACATATTAGCCAACTTATTCTACATTTGGGATTTTTTTTTTATACTTATGATATATATATAAGCAAAGTTGTCCACAAATAACACCTTTAAAGGTGATCTGTAATATAATTTTTCATAAATGCATCCACATTATTTACTAAAAGCTTAATGTAAGAGTCAAATAACATGTAAATCTTGTAATGTCTTAATACAATTAGGTCTACAAAATACCTCTGAAATACTAAAACCTATTCTAAACCACAAAATACTTCTAAATTCTTAAACTCTTATATTAAAAAGCTTTTGCTTTTTTGATAAATAAGATACCATATTTAGATTAAATACTATTGAAATAATTATTGAAGCTTATAATTTTGCATGTAATATTTAATTTATATATATTATAAAAAATAAAATGAAATATTATTTAAATATAAAGAATAAGAGTAATTAATCTTATATATCAACTTGTATCTCAGAAATAAAAAAATTCTCTCTATAATGACTATTATTCTATATGTCCCAAAGTTTAGAAACTATTAAAAATCCTAACATTGTTATAGTGTTGTTGTGATAATTTTAAATATAAATTATAATTATTTAAATTAAGAATTAATGAAAAGAAGAAAATTCAATCAAAAATAATTTATTACATGTAACTCTAGATTCTTTTTTAAAAGATTAGATGACTAGTATTTAGACCTTTTTTAACATTTATCTCAACTCCTTCAATGTGGCCTAATAGACAAC